TCTTCCGGGTCACCCAAAGATCTTTCCCCCGCTCCCCCAGGGTAGCGGAGGCTCCCCCGGAGCCACAAACATCTCCAGAAGGACATAAACCGGCTGTCTTGAGCCCTTGCTGACCCCAGCAGCCACATCCCCACCCCAGTACACTGAGGGTGGCTGGGGGCATAAGAAACTCAAAGACTCAAAACACTGGGGACCACTGTGCCTCAGCCAGACACCTTTTGTCTTGCATCCCAAGCCAACAGCCAGCCTGGAGGTGCCCGTTGACCTGGCCTGGACCACCACCCTGGGCCATGCACCCCCAGAGGCATCAGACTGTAACCTCAGCACCCCTGCGACACCCAAAGCCGCCTCTCCAGGGACCATAAGAAACTCAAAGACTCAAAACACTGGGGACCACTGTGCCTCAGCCAGACACCTTTTGTCTTGCATCCCAAGCCAACAGCCAGCCTGGAGGTGCCCGTTGACCTGGCCTGGACCACCACCCTGGGCCATGCACCCCCAGAGGCATCAGACTGTAACCTCAGCACCCCTGCGACACCCAAAGCCGCCTCTCCAGGGACCCTAAGGATTTGTCCTGGGCACCCTGTACGTCAAGGAGACGAGCCCCAGAGTCGGCACCTACCGGAGAAGTTCCTGGTGGCCAGCATGGTGGTGAGGATGGCTCCCTGAAAGATACAGAAGGCAGAAGGAAAGGGAGCGCTGGGCCCCGGCCCTCCGCACCCCTGCTGCTCCCCACCCATCCCTCAAGGAGGAAAGCCCTGCTTGTCACCTGTCCACCAGGCCACCTCACTGGAAGGAAACTGGCCCACAGGCTGACATTCTCCTCCTGCCATCAAAAGCAGCCCCCGGTACCTGACACCATACCCCCAGCACCAGGGCATTGGGTTGCATTCTCCAAAACTGTCTTCTCTCCAAGATTAAAGGGATATTAAATATCCTTGGGGTGCATTTTGGTCTTATTCTGCCCTAGATGTAGCATGACTTGACTGACCGGGGCTGGCAGCTGACAGCAAGGGGAGCCACCGGGAGCGGAACCGGATTTAATTGTAATTACTGCTGCGCCAGCAGGGCAGGGATTTTTCATGGGAGCAACGCAAAGATCACTACCACAAAATAACGTTCATAAAAATGCTTCCCCTTTTCCAGCTGACTCTACTAACTAGTTGCTCTCAGCATATAATGAGATTACTTTGGACTAATTGCCTACAGTAATGGATTACTATTTTGAAGCATATGCCTGAACTAATTTGATTACTTGTCTAGCTGAAAAGTAATAATAGTTTATAGCCAGTTTCTTTTCTTGATAATCTTGTTAGCAGCCTGCAGCTGCACTGCTCCGTGCCACATCGTGTTCAGGCCTGGAGCGCCGATGGCTCTGGCTGTGGCACAGAGCAGCGCCGTCCCACTCCGCATCTCCTGCTCTGGAAAAGCCATTGTCATTTCCAGAGCCCCTGCCCAGCACCCGGGAGGTGGGTGCTGCAGGGAGGTGCTCCAGCTCAACAGGAAAGCCTGCGGAGATGGTGATTTCAGAGGGGGTCCAGGCTGAAAAAAAAAAGAGAGCGCGTGGGACTGCTGGTGCGGGTGAGCCAGAGCTTTCTGCCTGTCTAAGGATCACTTTGTTCCTTGGCTGCAAAGCAGCTCAGTGATCAGGCAAAGGGGTCTCACTGTGCCTCTTGGATCCGCGCCCTGCCCCAAAGAGGAGCTTTCTTAACACACACTCCAGAGGGAAGGTCCTCGCTCCAGTGTCCAGGGCAGCTGCATGACTCGGTGCTTTCCTTCACCACAGCTTTCCTCCAAGCGCCTGGGAACCCCAGCCAGATGCAGCCACCACCCAACTTGGTCTCTTTTCCCTTCATCACAATGGGGATCGCCAAACGTCCATCACCCCCATACCGCTGACCCAGGGACACCACCCCATCCTTTCCCACATGAGGAACAAACCCACCAATGACCTGATCATGTAATTTTGCAGCCGGCTTGGAGAATTACCTTCAGCTTCCTCCGGGCATTGAACTTCTTCAGACAGTCCACTGTCTCCTGCCTGTGCATGCATGATGCCACAGTGGCACGGTGCTGGGAGGAGAGAAATCCAGATCAGAGCAGGCACTGAGTGGAAAGGGGCTCCCTCGGACCAGCTCTCACACGCATGCACACGTGTGCTGTCTCCTGCAGCCGATACACGTGCCAGAGCCGCCTAGAACAGCAGCCACAGATAGAACTGCAGGAGATCCAAGCTCTGGAGTCAGCATGATCCTCTCTGGCAGTGGGAGGGGGAGGCTGCAGGAAAAGCCAGCTGCCCCTTTGAGTAACTCCTCAACTGAGTGGCCACGCTTAGCAGTGTGCTCAGGGTTTGCACATGACATGGCGTCCCAGGGTCAAGCCTATGGACTCCTCCTGCCCTTAGGAGCTGATTCAGAGTGAGAACCAGCAGCCAGAGCAGTGGGGTGAGCAAGGGGAGGGGGGGGTTGCTGCTGGGGTGTATGGATGGATAAACACAAGCCTGTTCCCACCATCCCTGAGGAAAGGCCCCCCAGTGCAGTGTGACATGGAGAAACCAGTCTGTCCCCACAGGGACTGGGAACATCTGTGTCCCTCCCATCACCAGCTCCCTCAGGACGTGTGGTTTGCACATGCATTCCGGGATTTTCTCTGCCTCAGGGAAAAGGCGGCTCTGGGAGGAACCATGGAAGGAAACCATCTCCCCAGGACAGAGAAAAGAGATGGACAGCATGATTGATAATATGTGGTCCCCAGTGAGACCTTCTCCCCTTGCGAACTCCCCACATCTCTAGACCTTTGACGCCATCGGGGCTGGAATGCTGGGAGTGCCACCTGACTCACCGATATCCAGGGGTGCTTCAGAGCCTCCGCTGCCGTGATGCGCTTGGACGGGTTTATGGTCAACATCTTGTTGATGAGATCTTTCGCTTCCGGAGTGACCGTGTCCCATTCAGGGGAGGGGAACTGCCAAAGCAAAGGGACTGGGGTGAGGGATTGCAGGGAGGAATGGAAGGAGCAGAAGCTCCTTTGCACTTGGGTTGGTTATCCTGAAGCCCTTTGCTCCTGCCCATGGGACAGGTTGGAGAGGCTGTAGCAACTGGAAGGAGCTGCCAGCTAGAAAACTGGAGAGCAGGGGTGGAGGGAGAAAGGAGGAAAGCCCAGGACAAGACATATCTGTCCTGCAAAGTGGACCTGAAACACACCAGTGTGTCCACCTGGGCACAGCAGCTTGGTCAAAACTTTGTGACCAGTGCTGAGGGAAGAAACTTGCTCCTGCCTATCTGACTTTGCCCTGGTTGATCTTCAGAAGCAGCAGATTGCAAAGCAGGGACAGCGGGAGAGAAAGGGAACCATGAAAGGGGGGTGAGCAAGACAAACCCACTCACATCATAAGCCCCAGCCTTGATCTGCTGGTAGAGTCGGTGCTGGTCTTCATCCCAAAAGGGCGGGTACCCGACCAGCAGGATGTAGAGGATGACGCCTGCCCAGGAGAGGAGACGTGGGATCAGTGGGAGAGAGCTCATTGCTGGAGGTGCGAGCAGACTCAGCCTGGGGACTGGCCCAACTCAAGCAAGAGAAACTGAGAAATTAGAGAAACAGGAGGATTTGCTCCCTCATTGAAAAGCAAAAGCCTCGCTGGTGGGTCCAGCTCCAGGCTGACGTGATCAGCAGCTGGGGATGTACATGGCTCTGGCAGCCACCATGCACAGCCTCAGGCTGGGTGTTCTTGCACAGCTGGATGATGCCTCCTCCCCATCATGGGTGGACAAAGGCTTCTCTATGGCTGCATTGCACTGCAGGGCAAGAGAGCCAGCATCTCCCCTGCTTGCGGCTTTGGGTGCACAGCAAGGGTGCTGATCCTTCAGAGGAGGGTGCCACTGGAAGTCTCTGGGGACAGCTCAGGGTAATGTGCCACCTCTTGGGTAGATCCTTCGCCCTGACCTCCCTGAGATGTGCGCAGCAACTGTGACTCAGGACATGCTGGATGAACACCCTGAGTCATTCCACCCAGCCCAGCCCAGCGCGCTCCTGGCATTTCAGCCCCGATCTGACTCACCACAAGCCCACAGGTCCACAGCTTTGCCATAAGGGTCCTTTCGGAGCACCTCAGGGGAGAGATATCCTGGAGTACCAGCGAAACCTGGGACAGAGAGCCCATCACACCCAGCAGCACGCAGCCCCCATCCCCGCAGAGCTCACTGGCAGCGCCGGGCACATGCCGACCCAGTGGGACAGGCACCCTGCCTCCAGGAACCTCTGTGCTTCCTGGGGGCACAGCAAACCCCAGGGCTTTCTGCCAGTAGCAGCAGCCAGCCCCAGGATGGTGCAGAATGATGGAGTGCTCTGACGTGCACCTCCAGCACTTGGAAGAGGCTCTGCTTCCCCAGGGTCCGTCCCTGTTGCTGGCTTGTCCAGCTCACCATGACATCTTGGTGACTCACCAAGTCCCTGTGGGGCTGTTTGTCCGTGCCCTGCATCAATACTGGGCTGTTTCCAGGGGCACAGCTGGAGCCATCAACCTCCTCACTCCCTGTGCCTCCCAGGCTGGTGTTGCTGGGGGGCTCCCATAACCCGGGGTTCAGGTCCTGGGGATGTGTGTCCCTGCTGGAGCCCCCCCTGACCAAACACGCCAACGAGGGCTGGAGGATGTGTGACCTCAGGTGAGCCCTACTCACCAAACCACGCTTGCTGATCCCCCTCCACCTCGATGGCAAGGCCAAAGTCAGCCAGCTTGACGGCAGCCCCCTTCAGCTTGGATGCCAGCAGCAGGTTCTCAGGCTACAGGAGGAGACAGGGGTTGAAGAGGAGTGAAAGCCCCCCAAGGGGCTCTGTTGTTGGGGTGGGGGAGCTTCCCAGCACAGCATGGAGGAAGGTCAGGGCACTGGATGTGCTCCCCAACTGCTCTGTGTCCCCAGATCCTTAGAGGACCACAGACTACAAGGACCTGCCCTCTCCCTTGTGTTGTTTCACCTCAGAGCAGGTCTTTGCTCTGTGGCTCTCCAGAAGCCCCGCATCGTGTTCCTCCCCACAGCTTCAGCCGCCCTGGAGGACGCTGGGCTTTGCTCCACAGGGTTTTGCATCGCAGATGGGGCCCTCAAGTCCTCCCACCGGCAGCTCTTACCTTCAGATCACGGTGGACCACCCCCATCTGGTGGCAGTGCAGGACAGCCTCCAGGATCTGCTGGATGCAGTGGCTGTGGGAGAGAGGAGAAAGCTCACAGAAGTGTCCATTGAGGCAGAGATCCCTTAACACTTCTACCTGGCTGCATTTCGCCTCACCACTCCTCTCCCCATCATGCTTCGCACCAGCAGTCCTGCAGCACGGCTTAGCGTCTCCTTCCACTGAAAGCCACGCGCCCATGAAGAGCAGCTGTAACCCAGTAAGACCCCACCAAAGCTGCTGGGCACCCAGTTGCAGAGAGCAGGAGCATGGGGGGCTAAGACTGAGCCCATGGGGCCCCGACAAAAGCAACACTGGGGAGGGGGTAGCTGGAGAGCAGTGATCCTGCATCTGTTCACTTTATATCTAGCTCATTAAACCCCGGCTCTGCTGCATGCATGAGAAAGGAAGGGAAAAAGACTGAGGCAATGATCACTTCTGCTCCAGAACAGCTGTGTGCAAGGCAGAAGGTCTTTATTTATATGTATTTTATTTTATTTGTATGACACTAATAAGTGGATGGGTTGTAAGTGGATTCAGTGCAGGCAGCCCATTAAATGAAATTGCTTTCTGCCTAGAAATAAAGGCTATTTCCATGCAGACGGAGCTAGCGTGGAGCTTATCACCCCCTTGGACATTAGTACAAGCTGTGCCAAGAGACACAGTGATATCTGGAGACTGGAGAGGGCCAAATCGTGTCCCCTCCAAAAAAAAACGAGGCTAATGCTGTGTCCTGGCCAAGCTGCAAGGACTAAAGGAGTGGCTGAAATGGTGCTCAGCCCCCCGCCTCTGCTGCAGGGTACCTGGAAAGTGCCAGCGGGAGCGTGGGAGGGAGCGGAGCTCCAGCACATCCTCCCACCCAGCCTGTCTTGTCTGCGCCTCCTTAGTGCTTTCAAGTGGTAAATGCCAGAGAAACGCTTGCAAATGACTGTAACAAAAACGAAGCTGCAAGGGGAAAGGGTGAGGACTGCGGGGTGTCGGTGCTATCATGCTGCTGGTTCGGACACCAGCCTGAGACTGGGCTTCATCCCGGCCAGCCTGGGGAGCCCCAGTCCCCCCATGCAGGCAGCCCCAATGCCTTGCTCCTTTCATGGGCAGTCAGATGTGGGTTGTGCCATCAGTCCCAGAGCAATGGCTGGCAGCTGCCTGGTTTGAGGCAGGGACCAGCCCTCTGGAAACACAGGCACTTCTTGTCACAGGAGCCGAGTGAGTTAAAAAGAGCTTTCTGGTGTGGTTTTTGTTTTGTGTTTTTGGTTTTGTTTTTTGCATTGCACATCTGTTTTATGAGTACGAGCTGTGGAGCAGCTGTAAAACACCTCCCAGCACGGAAGGAGCTTATGCTGCAGAAAGCCAGACATGTAGGAACCTGGGAGGGAGCAGCTCGTGGGAGAAGGAGACAACTGCTGTCCCCTCCGTGGCCTGGCATGTGTCCGTGCTCACCTGGCATCCGCTTCGCTGTAGTACTCCCTGGCCACAATGTCCTCAAACAGCTCCCCGCCAGTGACCCTGCGAAAAAACAGGGGTAGTCACGCTCAGCACGCATGCAAGGGAGCTGGATTGATTTACAGCACGCTCAGCTCCAGCACCCCCCCCCAAAAATGCTGCTGCATACACGGGGGGAGCATCGGGGGTACAGGGCAGGGATTTGCCCCCTACCCAGCTTGAGACCCCCACATTTGGTTCAAACCCAGCCTGTGGGAAAGGCTTGGGTGAGATGAAGGGTGGGGGAAATCTTGGTGAGGGGGCAGGGGGCGGCAGGGCACGTTGCCCCAGGATGGAAGCATGCAGCCTCTAGTGGATTAAGAAAAGCATTTAACGATTACTCACAGGTCAAATATCAGGTAGTGGTGGCCCTCTTCAGAGATGCTGTCATGGAGCCTCACTGCAGCAGAGACAGAAGGGTTATGGGGTACACCTGGCTCCCACCCTGCTCCCCAGCAATGCCCTTGCTCCCCTCCAGGCACATACAGGAGCTGGGGAAGGGCAAAACGGTCTATCCCTCCTCTTCTCACTATTGTGCTGGCAGGGCAAGGGGATCCGTGCTCAGCACGGGACCCCAGCCATGGCCCCAGCCTTGGGCAGCAGTGCAAGGCTCAAAGGTCACATCCAAATCAGGGACTGCCTGGGACTAGTGCCTGGCCGAGGTCCCGGGCAGCTTCTGGGCTATCTTGGGTGCTGGGCAGGCTGGAGGCACAGGTGTTCCCAGCACAGACCTCTGCCCCATCAGAAGAGGTGCCAGGGCACTGGGCTGCCAGCCCTAGTACCAACAGAGCTTTTTTGATTCTGCTTATGATCTTCCTTTTCTCCTTGGGAGGTCTCAGGTCAGGGAGATCCAGGAATCACCACAGGTTGAGATTGCTTCAGTGGAAACGCTCTCCCCATCTCCTCCCATGGGGCTGGCTCCTTGCTCCGCTCATCACGCCGAGGGGCACCATCTCCCCTCGGGCACGTCTTGCCAGGTACAGCTGGGTGCGAAGGTGCCACCTCACCTCTGGGTTCTGGTTGTTCAGGCTTAGATCTCTGCTCACAGCTTAGCAGGCAAATGTGCAGCGAGGGGACAAGCACAGAAGCAGGTTGGACATATAAATAAGGCCTGGTCCAGCATCCTCTGGCCCCCACATCACATTTTGTTCTGATTTGGTTGAGGCTGTAAATACCTAACCCTTCCTCTCTGCCCACCTGGTTTCAGCCTGACACAGCTTTCAATGTTTTTGAAATCTTTAAAAACCAGGGAGGAAAGAGAAACATTCTGGTGAATGATTTTGTGGGAACTTCTGCTCCCAGTTCATTTTACCGCGGCTAAATCAGCCGCGTTCCGTATGGAAACACCCTCCAAACTCGAGTCTGAGCCAGGGCAGATAAGGAGCCCTGACACTCAGTGTGGATGCTGCACTGCACCGTTCTGATCTCCCAGGCCAGCAATCACCGCTTTGCTGGTCCTACCCCTCCCTCCCAGCTCAGTGAGCAGATCCAGCTGCTGCTAAGAGCAAGCTGCCAGCAGCCTCACCTCACCCCAGCCAGGGCAAGGGGCAGAGGAGGTCTGCTGAGCCCGATGGCACCTTTCCTCTCAATCTCTCTCATGGTCTTGTCCATCAACACAATTTTTTTATCTTATTCCATGGTTATCAGCCCCCACTGCTGGTCTCCACCAGCATCCCCTGCGCTCTGACAACAGTATCTGCTCCCGCTTTTTTCTCTGACATATAATCCCAGCTTTTCCGCCTGCCTCTGCTGGAAGAAACACATTTCCTCCCGTTTCATCTTGCCCAAGAGGGATTAAGAGTATTGTGCCTGGGATCCTGCAGAAGCCAAAGTGTTCGAAGGAGGATTAGGTGAGTTCGGTGTGGATAGAGCCCGCCTAACCACAAGCAGATGGTCCAGATGCAGCCCCTGCTTGGGGAAGCCCCAGTGCCTGTGGCTACCAGGAGCCAAGAAAGTCTAAGAAGGAGCAGCTGCTCTAAATATAGCCTGGTCCTGGAAGTATCTGTTCCTGATCCTGGTCAGGAAGAGCTGTGGCAGACAAACCACTCCAGCTCAGTGCCAAAAGCCAAGGCAGGAGCAGAGCACAGCTTCGGGACTTGAGGGTCAGAAAGCAACGAGTACCTGGAGTTAAAACTGCAGGACTGGGTGCAGCCAAAGTTTTCCTGATAAAGCACGACTTCGCTGCAAGGACTCGCAGCTTTTGGAAACAGCAGCTCTGCCTAACACAGAGGCCGGTGCCGTGGAGGTGCTGCGGGGTTCTGGGGACCCGGACCTGCCCTCAACCACCCGTGCATGGCTTTCTGTGCAAGGGTGTCCTGCAGGCACGGTGCAAAGCACAGGTCGGTTCCTCTGGGATCACAGGGGATGGAGGGATCCCCTCCCACTGCAAGGAGCTGGGGTGCTTCTCCCACGGAGGGGTGGAAAAGGATTTTCTGCCCCCCTTTCTCCATTCCCATGGCAGCAGGGGCTCTTCTTCCTCTCCTCAGGGCTGGTCGGCAGGGGCACAGCTCGTTCCAGCTCCGGGGTGGGTGATTAGCCCGGCTTGTGCTGCATGCAAGGGAAGCTGCGAGCCCAAGTTTCCAGGCAGCAGGAGCATGGCGATGGGGAGCGTGAGGGTGTGGGGTGGGGGTGTAGAGAAGAACCTCCTGGGTATAAATAGCATCGAGATTGGGCTCGTTAGCAACACATGCCATTAACTCTTTCCAGCTTGGTGCAGAAGGGTTGCTCTGAGCTCTGCTAGTTCTGCAGGTCGCGGCCAAACAGTGAAAAGTGGCACAGGGAGGGGGCAGGAGGCACAGTGGGGCTGAGGTGTTTCTGGCCTCCAAGACCTTGCCAGTCCCACAGAAAAGTGATGGAGAGAGACGGGAGGAAGCCAGCAGTAGGGAAAAGCTGGAACCAGGCTGGGAGCTGGGGAAGCTCCAGCTGCATGGCCCAGCTACCATCCTGCAAGTCCTCCCAGCCTGGATTCCTTTAGCGTTTCTTGCTATTCATGGATTTACAGGGTGTTTCCTCTGGGTCTCAGCAATCCCCACGTGTATTTTGGTACAGAGGAAAGGCCTTGGCAGCTGCTCTGGCTGGGGAAGGATGGAGTCCTCAACAAGCTGCCCCTGGCAGGGCAGCTCCTGTCCAGTGCGCATTTTGTTCTGATTTCCTTGAGGCTGTGAATATTTAACCCTTCCTCTCATCCCATCTGGTTTCAGCCCAATACAACTTTCAGCATCTTTGAGATCTTTGGAAACCAGAGGCAGGACAGCAGACAGATTCTGGGGGGGTTCTGGCACCCCGGCAATGTGGGGGAGACCTGCCGTGTGCCCACGACAGATGGAAGCTGACAGGCTTCTTCCCAGCTGAAATATTTATGAGGCAGGAGCCACATGGCTGGTCCCAGTGGCCCTGGGTTCAGCTCCCTAGATCTGCTGCAGTGGTTCCTGGGCAAGGATGGATCCAGGGAGCAGCGAGGGGGCCAGGGAGGAGCTCAGCCAAAGGGGAAACCTCCCGGCTGTGTGATGTGAGGGCTGCAGATCTCCTACCTTATCCGCAAATACTTCTCCAAAAGCTGCAGGATCGCACTGGGGTTGGCACATCCTGGGGTGCAGTGAAGGAGAGAGAGGGTTCATCCCAGCTCCTGCTGCTGGACAATGCCAGGGGCCTGACAGCCTGCATCAGCATCACTCTCAAGGCTGGGGTTTGGGATTTTTTATTTTTTTTTTACTGCAGTTTTTTCCCCTCCCCTCTCTCTCTCTCTCCTTCTGGCCTATTTTTGTCTTTTGCAGGGGCTCAGGAGTTTTCCTGAAACAGCTTTTCCGAAGGAGGCTACTCTCAGATGGACGGTCGGTGGGAAAGTCTTCGCTTCCCCCCCGCCATCGCTCCTCCTACACGCCCTGCGCTGCTGCTGCTGCTTGGAGCTGCAGCCACTTTTTGGAGCATGCAGAGGAATACAGCACCCGAGAGGAGGGAGAGGAGTAAAAATAGTCCCTTGCAGGGCCCCACTTCTCCCTGAGGGAGCTATGGCCAAGTGGGTTAGGTAGGACCTACTTCAATCCGCCATGCTCGCTGGAGACCTCTCTTCCCATGACCCCGTTTGAAGATGCTGCCTCCCGTGAGGAAGAGGAGGGGTGGTTCTGCAGATCAACAGCCCGTGCTGCTGCAGACAGGGCTGAATCATGGACAGGGAGCCCCCCGGGGACGCAGGAAGGCAGAAGGGCAGCAGAGCTGAGCATGAGGCGCTGGCAGATTTGCCTGGCTCCTCGCCTGGCAGGCGGTGGGGGAGCAGGGTGCGCTTACCGATGTTGGGGTGCTTCAGGAGACGGCAGATCCGGGCTTCTCGTTCCAGCTTCTGGTGATCTGGAAGAGGCAATGGCCCTACATTAGGGTCTGGGGAAAGGGAATAACTCACTCTAAGCTCTGGCCGTGCACCTGGCAAGAAGCAAACCTGTCCTTTTTATTTTGCTAAAGAATAACAGGTTTGGGGACACAGTCAGCATTGGGGTCTGATGGACAGTATCTCAGCGTGGATGCAGCCCCCAGCCAAGCTCACAGGCACCAAGACCATGGGCTTTGGATGATTGCTCACCCTCCTCTCTCCCTTCTCTTTGCTGAATGAGTCCCCATCACTTCCCAAAAACCCCAGGGCTGCCTGGATTTTCTCTGCCAGCAACGCCTGCTCAGTTTTCTCATATTCCACTAAGCACAGGCTATCAGCAAGGACATTTTTGGCCCCGAATGGTACAATTTGAACAGCCAAAGATAGAGCCGACCTGCAAGTGATGTCAAGCTGAAACAGGGCTATCTTCCCCCTCTCCGCCCCCAGTCGTTTCACATCGGGTCTTTGCTCTCCTACATCGCAAAACTCTGGCTCTGAAAATTTGCTTTGCTCCGGTGCCCATCTCCAAATGGAGGCACAGGTCCTTCTGCCTGGCTTTTGCCAGGCTCAGGGATACAAGACAGTGTAGCTCTGGGCAAAGCGAGTTGAGAGGAGAAAAAAAAACCTCCACCCTGGGGGAGCCCAGAATAAATTTTTGCATAGTTTTGTTTCTTTTTCCCTGCCTCTGCGCTTTTCTGCCTCCTTATACGTGACCCAGCCACCTTGCACGGAGGTGCCTTGTCTGGAGGCATTTCGTGTTAGCAGGAACCCAGGAGCCAGGAGAAGGGAAAATATAATTAAGGCTGCTCGTCTCTCAGCGCTGTCGCTGTTACCTTGCAGGTTCACACCCCAGAGTCTCGCTCCGCATCCAACCAAACCTGGGTGTCTCCGACCGCTGAGATGTGAAGCTGACACAGCCCCTTCTCTGCAGGGACTGGAGCCTTTCCCCAGGTATCCCTTGGCCAGCGGCCAAGGGGCTCGGCATGGGAGAGTCACCCCAGGGCTTGGGATGAGCTTTGCAGCCTGCGCTGCGATGCGGGAGCCGACGGAAGCCTCAGTGGCCTCCTTCAGCTCCCCATGGCATTTCCCCCCATGGGGGACAACTTCCCCAGGGTGGGACAAGAAATGGGGAGATGTCAGGGTTTAGGCTGTTGCTTTTTGCAACCAAAATCTGTCATGGGGTGGAGGGCAGGGACGGGATAGAGGGTCTGACCAGTGGGGCAAGCACTTCTCTGGGGAATGAGTAGCTGCTCTGTGCCCACTCTGTGCTTGAGCCTGACAGCGATCTTAGGGGAGTCACTGCTCATCACTGTGTGCCTCAGTTTCCCCATCTGCAGCCTGGAGGCTGGGGCCAAACAGCCGGTGGGAAAGCCCGGTATTTCTGGTGTCCAGCTCCTTCACTTGTTTAGAAGAGGTCAGAGATCACAAGAAATGGCAGCAAATGCAACCCTGAGCACGGTGCGGATCCCAGCACTGCTCTGTGGGGAA